CACTTAAAGTGGGCAGGGGGTGCGGGCAGGGGCCCCAGGCCCTCCTGTTTGCCTGCCTTTTGTCCTTCTCCAGCTGAGAGGCTGTTGGTGTCTCTGCAGGTCGCAACGAGCTGATTGCCCGCTATATCAAGCTCCGGACAGGGAAGACCCGCACCCGGAAGCAGGTGGGCCCCAGAGACGGGCACAGGCCCCAGGGCAGGTACCCCAGCCCAGCCTGCCCCAAGGGGGCCAGGCCCTCTGCAGGACCAAGCGTGAACTCTCAGTGGGGCCAACTTGGGTGGGTTGTCTCTTCTTGGGGGCCACAGACAGTTCCGTTTCCCTGATGCCATCGCCGGGGAGGAAGCCCTTTGCGTCAGTGGGGAGTCAGCAGCCCCCTTCTCATCCTGCAGGGTGCCAGAACAGAGAGCGAAGCAGTGGTGCAGCACCTTGATTTACTGCCAGACTCTGGATGAGCTGGACAAACGGGACTGAGGCCCATCAATCACCCTTTCAGTCACACATTAGTTCAGTCAGTCCGCAGATGTGGATGAGGACTGGGGGAGGCTGAGGGCAGGGAGCCAGGGTGGGGCGACTGGCTATGTGGGAAGCAGGGGCAGCAGCCTTCTCTTCCCGCCACAGGTCTCCAGCCACATCCAGGTGCTGGCTCGGCGAAAAGCCCGTGAGATCCAGGCCAAACTAAAGGTAAGGCTGACGGCAGGCGTGGGAGTGAGGACCCAGGGCATGGGAGTGGGAGGGCCAGCTTCCTGTGGCTCTTGTTCTGGCCGGAAAAGCCTTCCCTTTGGGTTCAGGACTGGCTGCCTGTGTGTAGAAGCAGGATGCCTCCCTGTGCTGAGGAGAGCGGGGCTTGGCCTGTAACGTCTCCCACCCACACAGGGGGTGGCCCTTGGCCTTGGAGCTGGGTAGGTGACTGCCAGGCTCCGCAGCATCCCGGGAGTCACAGGCCCATCTGCTGCTCTGCAGTCTCCCCGTAGGGGCAGTGCACTCAGCAGCTCACAGTGGGGTTGTCCTCCGGATCCCGTTCCTTGAGGGCCTCCTCAAGCCCACTGGCACCTTAGTGCCCAATCGGTACCTGCAGGGTGGTCAGGCCTGGGGGGCCCTCCTGTGGGGTGGGGCTGGAGGCACTGTGGGAGCTGGTGGTCCTTTCCTCACCCTGCGTGCTGGGACAGGCAGGCCCTTCCTGTTCCTGCACCAGCCCCACCTCACAGGGCCATTTGCCAGCAGGTGACTGCTCTGTGGAGGGCCAGGTGCTGATGGGATTCGCTTGGGGTGGCCTGCTCCCCACAGGACTCCATCCTCTTGATTCGGGAGCCAGGGGACCCCTGTGGGGAGCAGTAGGAGGGAGGTGCTAGCAGAGGGCTTGCCCAGCACTTGGCAGGAAGAGTTAATATTCGGGGCATTAGACTAATTTGCAGACTTCTTCTAAAAAGCAGTGGAAATCCCTTTTGTTTTTTTCCCCAAAAATATCATTGCAGTGTATTATCAAAGGAGCCACTCTGGGTGAAGCCACATCGGTGAGGGGCAGGGGGGACACCCCTCCTCCTATTCACCTCTCATGCCCCATGGCTCTTGGACCCAAAGCAACTCAGAACCCAGTCTAAGAGCCCCTGGGTTAGATGGCCTTGAAGGTCCTGTGGCCGCCGTAGTCTCTGGTCCCGACACTGGGGGCTCTGAGGAGTGGTGGGAACACCGGGGACTGGCACCTGGTGCCGCTCAGCCCTGCCCCTCCCGCCCTCAGCCCAGCTGTCCCCCGCCCTCACAGCTGTGGCCTGGCTCTCGCCCTCTGTCCCTGGGACAGCTGGCTGGGCCTCAGCTGCCGGCCCTCCCTCCCACGCTGGCACACATGCCTGGACACATGGGGTCCCGGAGCCAGGCTTGCCCCTCATTCCCACCTCAGGGTTGCCTCTGGATCACAGACCTGCATGGAAACTTCCCAGTGTTTTGTTTAGAGCTGTTGAGGGCAACTTTTAATTCCCATGGAGTCTGTCTGTATGGCCCACAGTTGCCTGTCCTTGTCCACAGTAGACGGCTGGACAGACATCAAGGGGAGCCACGAACCTCTTCACCAATATGCACATTTTCTGGTAAATGTGTTTTCCTGGGCAGATTGACCTGAGGATATGGTGATGTTCTCAAAGGGGTGTGGGACCCAATATAATGAAGCTCCGTGGTGGAGAGCAAGGTCAGGCAGGACTCCTCCGGGTCTTGGGGCGTGGGCTAGCCTGGCTCTTCCCCTGGGCCACGTGAGCTTGGGTGAGTCACGGAAGGCTCAAGCTCCATTCAGTTGCTCCATATTTAAAATGACAGGGTTAAATATGGTGGTATCTGAGGTCCATTCCAACCCCAAAATTCAGTGACCCCCTGGCTTTACAGCCTGGTCCCTGATGTCACTCCACACCATATCCTCCCACTTCCCCTTGATTCCTGTCCCTCCCTCTGAGGACAGGGTTTCCTGAGCCTGGTCGTTTGTTTAGATCAGCTTTCCAGGAAGAGGCACAGTTGCTGATGCTGAGCAGATGGCTCTCAGGCCCCACAACACTGTTGGTAACCCATGGTCTGTGGGCTTTCTGGGGTACAGCCTGCCGTGACTTCCGTCTCCTGGAGGGAGAGGGGCTGGACGTGCTAGGCTTTCCCCAGGGACAGTGCAGGTGTCCTTGGGAGGAGGCAAGCCACTTGCTGATCAGCACCCTTGTTGGTTATCAGAGACAGCTGCTAGAGCAAGGCCCAGGGGCGGCCCCAAAGGGACAGTGGGTTGAGGATGACCCTGTCACGAGAGTGTTCCCTGTGCTGTCCCTGAGTGCTGTCACATCTTGATGTATCCCCCTCCCCGGCTTGCTCAGCCCCCTCGCCTGCAGGGCCGACCACCACTGGCAGTACTCTAGCATCTTAGTCTCTGAGCCTGGGCCTCTTCATCCTGACATGAGGGTCCTGCTCTTGCCAGCCTCACAGGAGAGCTATGATGTTCAGAATCAATGTGAGATAGTGTTCTTCTCTGTGTGTCATGTGAGCATGTGCAGAGGCCGAGAGGAGGGCCTGCTGTGTTCTGGCTGGGCCGCGGGGTGGACCGCCTGAACCCCTCAGTCCGACACCACAGTAATGCCTCCCTGCAGGCCATGGTGGGGGATGAGTGAAATCACCCCAAAGCATCTGTAAGCGAGGACCTCTGTTGCATCTCAGTTTATCACTCAGGACAGGTCTCAGTCTACCAAATAATTATTCAAGAATGGTCAATTTATTTTTCCCACTGAAAAATATGCATCAGAAAGGCACAGAATTTCTAACCAGAGCTCCCAAATTAACACAATCCACCCTTTTAGACCCAATAAAACTACACACACCAAATAGTACTTGTCATTCCAGTCTGTATATGTGGTCATGTTTTGGACAAAGACACAATTCCCATTAGCCTTTTTAAAGTAACACATTGTTGTCTCGTTGTTTTGAAGATCTTAGGGATTGAGGAGCTCAGGATGGGAGCCACTGGCTTTTATATGTATAACAGAGTATTATTACTGTTAGTATTATTACCAGTCATAAATGTTAATTTGTTTAGAACCTGTACAGGGTGAACCCATTCCTTGGGGTCTTCAGACCACAGAAAGCAGGTATTTACATTCTGACGTGTAATAAGAAGGGGAGTGTCCACCATGCACGGGGAGACCCCTAGGGCTGGACTGAGACAGGTGGGGCCGCAGGAGACTGTCCTGTGCCTCTGACAGGTGCATGACCGAAGGCGCCCCTTCCTACCCATTTGCGGAGGGATCCGACAGATATTTATACCTCCCCTGCCATGAGCCAGGTGCCACGCCTGCCACCAGCCGTGTGGAGGTGAGCAAAGGGCTAACAGTTCCATTCTTCAGATGTCCCTGTAATTAGTGAACAAAGACATGGTCTGGCAGATGTCCCCAAAGTTTCTTTAAGCTCTAAAAAAGAGGCAGGGCAAGTAGTATGCCCCTTTGACGGATGGGGAAACCAGAGAAACCAAGTCACTGGCTCAAAGCCACTAAACAAGTTTTAGCACAGCAAGGACGCGGGCCTGGTGCCCTGGGGCCAAGTCCGGGGCTCTGGCCACTGGCAGTGGGACGGCTTCCCTGGCTCCCAGCCCAGATGCCGCCTTGTCTGAGCTGCTGTGATGACCATTGCTGATGCCCTCCCTCTGATGTCTTCCCCAGGATCAGGCAGCTAAGGACAAGGCTCTGCAGAGCATGGCCACCATGTCGTCCGCCCAGATCATCTCTGCCACAGCCTTCCACAGTAAAATGGCCCTCGCCCGGGGCCCAGGCTACCCAGCAGTCTCAGGGGTAAGTGGGGCTGCCTGGAGCCAGAGGTCAAGCCCGCCCCCACTTCTGAGGAGCCCGAGGTACCAGCCAGACAAAATTTCTCTCACTCGAGTCCTCTCGGGCCAGGAGAGCCAGGGAGAAGGAGGGACCAGGGACTAAGGGGCCATGTGAGGTCCCGGAATCTCAACTACATTCTTGGGCCTTGGCCGTGACACCACAGACCTTTCACACAGGGCAAGACTGCCCCCTTAGCTGACGGACTGAGGAGCTGCCGACTGGGCCCCACGCGCAGATGAGAAGGCCGAGGCCCCAGGGGCGGGGGCTGGAGCCTGAGGCTTTGGCACAGCAGCGTGTTCCCTCCCCCATCGGCCTTGTGCCAGTAACCCACCTGCTCCGCACAGGACCTCCTCTGCTCCCATGCCCTTCTCCTGGCCCCCTGGCTGGTCTCTGAATTAGACTGCTTACATGGGCCTAGAACGTGTGCATTCTATAGAAAAGGGAACCGCCAGAGAGCTCTCATCGAGCCAAACTTAGGGCCTGATTCTAAGGCTCAGAATGGTTTGATGGGAAAAATCTGGAGGAAAAACTTTCCAAGGGACTAGACTTAAGAAGAGAGGACTAGGTGAGGGGGCCTAGAGGAAAGTCACCTGTGGAGGCCCTAGAGGCACGGTGGGCTGCTGGGAGAGGGCCTGGCTCCCGACTCCCAGTCCCGTGGCCTGCGTCCACGCACTGCTGATCATGATGTAGATTCTCTTGTCAGTGACAACAGCAGTTCATAGTTGCAGCATGAGTGCCCCTAGGCAGACATAGAGTAGGACTGGTGAGCACTCATTGGGCTGCCGAAGGAACGTGCAGACCTTTCCCTGGAAAGCTCTGAGGAGAGGTGTCCTGCTGGGTCACTGTTGTAGGTGTGGACCAGCCTGCAGGCGATGTTCCTGGGATCTGAAGCTCCTTCCCTCCTTCCCCTGACACAGGCAGGCCAGTGCTCCCAGGCCAGCAGTCTTTCTGGCAGAAGAGACACTCGAAGGTCCTCTTAATTCAGCCTTGGCGGTGGGGAAAGGTCAGCCGGGGGCAGGTGGGCCGCAGGGCTGTGCGCTCTGGTTGAAGCCTGGGTGGCCAACCACCCACCCATCTCGCCGTGCGTCAGCAGCTTCCTCACTCCTAGCCGTGGCCCTCCAGGCTCAGCACAGCCCCTCAGGACAGGGCAGGCTGGCAGCTGTGCCCTCCAGCCCAGAGGTGGAGCCAGGAAGTGACTGCTCCCACTCAAACCCTCTCACACCCCACCCCTCCGTGCCCTGCTTGGTGGCTGATCCTACCCAGGGTCAAGCTCCAGCTGCAGGTGCTCCGACCCCTCGCCCTCTGAACCCACAGAATGTTCCCTGTCTGCAGCACACCCTGGCGCCGTTGCATGGGCACACGTGTCTCTTCGTATGAGTGCTATGAAAGCAGGAACCTCTTTTCATAATCCCATTTATAATAGTAGGGACATGGGTGGCTCCTGAGAGTCTGCAGGATTCTGAGAAGCAATGCTAGCCTCTGGGAGGCAGGCCTGTGGTGACCACTGAGCATTACCTGGAGGCAGGTGGGCACAGCCACGGAGCCAGAGACATGGTCTCTCTGTGCTTTCTTTATCTGAGCAAAGGCCCCAGGCCTCCTCTTTGGGGCCCCTCTATGTCTCAGCACTTGTGAGCCCCATGCCCCCTGCTGCCCGCAGGTAGGACAAGACATCTGGTGAGGTGCTGTCATTTATGGAGGTGCTGGGGATGGTGGGGGCTGCACAGGGGAAGCACCAAGGCCCAGGCGCTCCCTGCAGTCTCCCGAGTGTGCAGAAGGCCCAGAAGGTGGAGGCGGAGAGGTGCCTGTCAGGCTGCTGTGGGTAGAGGTGAGGAGGTGGTCAGTGTGGCGGGTGGGGAGGCTCTGCGTTGTGCGCCAGCAGCCCAGACGCCCCTGGTCCTGCCCTGTCCTTGTGCTCAGGTTACCAGGCTCCCAGCTATGACTCAGCTTCCTCTTGCTGTTGGGAGATCCCTGGGATCTGAGGAGCGCAGGAGGGAACCTGCAGAATCCTCACCCAAGTACCCACTTAAAGTGGGCAGGGGGTGCGGGCAGGGGCCCCAGGCCCTCCTGTTTGCCTGCCTTTTGTCCTTCTCCAGCTGAGAGGCTGTTGGTGTCTCTGCAGGTCGCAACGAGCTGATTGCCCGCTATATCAAGCTCCGGACAGGGAAGACCCGCACCCGGAAGCAGGTGGGCCCCAGAGACGGGCACAGGCCCCAGGGCAGGTACCCCAGCCCAGCCTGCCCCAAGGGGGCCAGGCCCTCTGCAGGACCAAGCGTGAACTCTCAGTGGGGCCAACTTGGGTGGGTTGTCTCTTCTTGGGGGCCACAGACAGTTCCGTTTCCCTGATGCCATCGCCGGGGAGGAAGCCCTTTGCGTCAGTGGGGAGTCAGCAGCCCCCTTCTCATCCTGCAGGGTGCCAGAACAGAGAGCGAAGCAGTGGTGCAGCACCTTGATTTACTGCCAGACTCTGGATGAGCTGGACAAACGGGACTGAGGCCCATCAATCACCCTTTCAGTCACACATTAGTTCAGTCAGTCCGCAGATGTGGATGAGGACTGGGGGAGGCTGAGGGCAGGGAGCCAGGGTGGGGCGACTGGCTATGTGGGAAGCAGGGGCAGCAGCCTTCTCTTCCCGCCACAGGTCTCCAGCCACATCCAGGTGCTGGCTCGGCGAAAAGCCCGTGAGATCCAGGCCAAACTAAAGGTAAGGCTGACGGCAGGCGTGGGAGTGAGGACCCAGGGCATGGGAGTCGAGGGCCAGCTTCCTGTGGCTCTTGTTCTGGCCGGAAAAGCCTTCCCTTTGGGTTCAGGACTGGCTGCCTGTGTGTAGAAGCAGGATGCCTCCCTGTGCTGAGGAGAGCGGGGCTTGGCCTGTAACGTCTCCCACCCACACAGGGGGTGGCCCTTGGCCTTGGAGCTGGGTAGGTGACTGCCAGGCTCCGCAGCATCCCGGGAGTCACAGGCCCATCTGCTGCTCTGCAGTCTCCCCGTAGGGGCAGTGCACTCAGCAGCTCACAGTGGGGTTGTCCTCCGGATCCCGTTCCTTGAGGGCCTCCTCAAGCCCACTGGCACCTTAGTGCCCAATCGGTACCTGCAGGGTGGTCAGGCCTGGGGGGCCCTCCTGTGGGGTGGGGCTGGAGGCACTGTGGGAGCTGGTGGTCCTTTCCTCACCCTGCGTGCTGGGACAGGCAGGCCCTTCCTGTTCCTGCACCAGCCCCACCTCACAGGGCCATTTGCCAGCAGGTGACTGCTCTGTGGAGGGCCAGGTGCTGATGGGATTCGCTTGGGGTGGCCTGCTCCCCACAGGACTCCATCCTCTTGATTCGGGAGCCAGGGGACCCCTGTGGGGAGCAGTAGGAGGGAGGTGCTAGCAGAGGGCTTGCCCAGCACTTGGCAGGAAGAGTTAATATTCGGGGCATTAGACTAATTTGCAGACTTCTTCTAAAAAGCAGTGGAAATCCCTTTTGTTTTTTTCCCCAAAAATATCATTGCAGTGTATTATCAAAGGAGCCACTCTGGGTGAAGCCACATCGGTGAGGGGCAGGGGGGACACCCCTCCTCCTATTCACCTCTCATGCCCCATGGCTCTTGGACCCAAAGCAACTCAGAACCCAGTCTAAGAGCCCCTGGGTTAGATGGCCTTGAAGGTCCTGTGGCCGCCGTAGTCTCTGGTCCCGACACTGGGGGCTCTGAGGAGTGGTGGGAACACCGGGGACTGGCACCTGGTGCCGCTCAGCCCTGCCCCTCCCGCCCTCAGCCCAGCTGTCCCCCGCCCTCACAGCTGTGGCCTGGCTCTCGCCCTCTGTCCCTGGGACAGCTGGCTGGGCCTCAGCTGCCGGCCCTCCCTCCCACGCTGGCACACATGCCTGGACACATGGGGTCCCGGAGCCAGGCTTGCCCCTCATTCCCACCTCAGGGTTGCCTCTGGATCACAGACCTGCATGGAAACTTCCCAGTGTTTTGTTTAGAGCTGTTGAGGGCAACTTTTAATTCCCATGGAGTCTGTCTGTATGGCCCACAGTTGCCTGTCCTTGTCCACAGTAGACGGCTGGACAGACATCAAGGGGAGCCACGAACCTCTTCACCAATATGCACATTTTCTGGTAAATGTGTTTTCCTGGGCAGATTGACCTGAGGATATGGTGATGTTCTCAAAGGGGTGTGGGACCCAATATAATGAAGCTCCGTGGTGGAGAGCAAGGTCAGGCAGGACTCCTCCGGGTCTTGGGGCGTGGGCTAGCCTGGCTCTTCCCCTGGGCCACGTGAGCTTGGGTGAGTCACGGAAGGCTCAAGCTCCATTCAGTTGCTCCATATTTAAAATGACAGGGTTAAATATGGTGGTATCTGAGGTCCATTCCAACCCCAAAATTCAGTGACCCCCTGGCTTTACAGCCTGGTCCCTGATGTCACTCCACACCATATCCTCCCACTTCCCCTTGATTCCTGTCCCTCCCTCTGAGGACAGGGTTTCCTGAGCCTGGTCGTTTGTTTAGATCAGCTTTCCAGGAAGAGGCACAGTTGCTGATGCTGAGCAGATGGCTCTCAGGCCCCACAACACTGTTGGTAACCCATGGTCTGTGGGCTTTCTGGGGTACAGCCTGCCGTGACTTCCGTCTCCTGGAGGGAGAGGGGCTGGACGTGCTAGGCTTTCCCCAGGGACAGTGCAGGTGTCCTTGGGAGGAGGCAAGCCACTTGCTGATCAGCACCCTTGTTGGTTATCAGAGACAGCTGCTAGAGCAAGGCCCAGGGGCGGCCCCAAAGGGACAGTGGGTTGAGGATGACCCTGTCACGAGAGTGTTCCCTGTGCTGTCCCTGAGTGCTGTCACATCTTGATGTATCCCCCTCCCCGGCTTGCTCAGCCCCCTCGCCTGCAGGGCCGACCACCACTGGCAGTACTCTAGCATCTTAGTCTCTGAGCCTGGGCCTCTTCATCCTGACATGAGGGTCCTGCTCTTGCCAGCCTCACAGGAGAGCTATGATGTTCAGAATCAATGTGAGATAGTATTCTTCTCTGTGTGTCATGTGAGCATGTGCAGAGGCCGAGAGGAGGGCCTGCTGTGTTCTGGCTGGGCCGCGGGGTGGACTGCCTGAACCCCTCAGTCCGACACCACAGTAATGCCTCCCTGCAGGCCATGGTGGGGGATGAGTGAAATCACCCCAAAGCATCTGTAAGCGAGGACCTCTGTTGCATCTCAGTTTATCACTCAGGACAGGTCTCAGTCTACCAAATAATTATTCAAGAATGGTCAATTTATTTTTCCCACTGAAAAATATGCATCAGAAAGGCACAGAATTTCTAACCAGAGCTCCCAAATTAACACAATCCACCCTTTTAGACCCAATAAAACTACACACACCAAATAGTACTTGTCATTCCAGTCTGTATATGTGGTCATGTTTTGGACAAAGACACAATTCCCATTAGCCTTTTTAAAGTAACACATTGTTGTCTCGTTGTTTTGAAGATCTTAGGGATTGAGGAGCTCAGGATGGGAGCTACTGGCTTTTATATGTATAACAGAGTATTATTACTGTTAGTATTATTACCAGTCATAAATGTTAATTTGTTTAGAACCTGTACAGGGTGAACCCATTCCTTGGGGTCTTCAGACCACAGAAAGCAGGTATTTACATTCTGACGTGTAATAAGAAGGGGAGTGTCCACCATGCACGGGGAGACCCCTAGGGCTGGACTGAGACAGGTGGGGCCGCAGGAGACTGTCCTGTGCCTCTGACAGGTGCATGACCGAAGGCGCCCCTTCCTACCCATTTGCGGAGGGATCCGACAGATATTTATACCTCCCCTGCCATGAGCCAGGTGCCATGCCTGCCACCAGCCGTGTGGAGGTGAGCAAAGGGCTAACAGTTCCATTCTTCAGATGTCCCTGTAATTAGTGAACAAAGACATGGTCTGGCAGATGTCCCCAAAGTTTCTTTAAGCTCTAAAAAAGAGGCAGGGCAAGTAGTATGCCCCTTTGACGGATGGGGAAACCAGAGAAACCAAGTCACTGGCTCAAAGCCACTAAACAAGTTTTAGCACAGCAAGGACGCGGGCCTGGTGCCCTGGGGCCAAGTCCGGGGCTCTGGCCACTGGCAGTGGGACGGCTTCCCTGGCTCCCAGCCCAGATGCCGCCTTGTCTGAGCTGCTGTGATGACCATTGCTGATGCCCTCCCTCTGATGTCTTCCCCAGGATCAGGCAGCTAAGGACAAGGCTCTGCAGAGCATGGCCACCATGTCGTCCGCCCAGATCATCTCTGCCACAGCCTTCCACAGTAAAATGGCCCTCGCCCGGGGCCCAGGCTACCCAGCAGTCTCAGGGGTAAGTGGGGCTGCCTGGAGCCAGAGGTCAAGCCCGCCCCCACTTCTGAGGAGCCCGAGGTACCAGCCAGACAAAATTTCTCTCACTCGAGTCCTCTCGGGCCAGGAGAGCCAGGGAGAAGGAGGGACCAGGGACTAAGGGGCCATGTGAGGTCCCGGAATCTCAACTACATTCTTGGGCCTTGGCCGTGACACCACAGACCTTTCACACAGGGCAAGACTGCCCCCTTAGCTGACGGACTGAGGAGCTGCCGACTGGGCCCCACGCGCAGATGAGAAGGCCGAGGCCCCAGGGGCGGGGGCTGGAGCCTGAGGCTTTGGCACAGCAGCGTGTTCCCTCCCCCATCGGCCTTGTGCCTGCCCCCCCCTTGGGCTCTCAGTGCTGTCCACCTGCGGGGGGGCTGGCCACTATTCAGGAACAAACTCTTGTTCAAATTTTAAATTTCTCAGCCTAATAATGGGCCTCTTACCACAGCCAGGTTGGCCACACTTTCAGAAAGGCCCCTCCTGTCCAGGGCTGTGTTCTCGCAGGGCTTTCTTGGCTGTAGGGACTAGATGGCTCTTCAAGATGCATCCACGGTCCATCTAGGCACTGGGGGAAGGGACAGTAACAGGCCCTGGGCTGGCAAGCCTCCTTTCCAGCAGTTTTCACTGTGGTCCTCTGGGACGTTAGATAGATGTGATACAAAGTGACTGCAGAAGGAAGTGTGGGGCGCTTAGAACTAAACACGTTTTCTGACTGCAGAACCGTTCAGAGCCTGACTTGCTGCCCTGCACGGTTGGCCTCTAAGGGAGGAACCCAGTTTACCATGTTCACCAAACCTGGTGTTCCTGCCATGGAGCACCGTGGCAGCAGAGCCTGAAATGCTTTGGGACGCAGCTGTAGGCTAGTGTTAGCCTTAGCCCTCTCCCTGCCGCCCCCAGGAGCTGGGCTCGCAGCCTCACCTTCAGCCCAGGCCTCTGCCCTGTCTGCCTGCACCCCGCGTCCACACGCATGAGAGCAGTGCTCACTCTGCATGTTTTGCCTCCCCAGTTTTGGCAAGGAGCTTTGCCAGGCCAAGCCGGAACATCCCATGAGTGAGTATGCCTGCTACCAGCGCTCCCTGACCTACACTTGAGCCCATAAATTCGTGCAGTTGAGTCTGGCCCCCAGGCTGGGATGGGCTGCGGTCTAGGGCTGGCCTCTCAGGACAGTCTGAGCTTGGGGATTGGGCTCCTGCTCTGGCATCAGCTGCATCTACAGTGCCGACACTCTGGGGTGGCATTTGCTGAAGCTCCTGTCTGTCATGGGCATAGCAAGGCCAGAGCTTGGGACCCCAGAGGAAGGAGGCTAGGGCCAAACCTGTGGGGGCCTGCGGGGCAGGGAGGAGCAAAGGGTGGGTTTTTCCAATACACGTGCTGCTTCTGTGGATCAGCAGGAAGCCCGAGGGAGTTGGCAGGGAGGGAGTGGGAGACCAAAGCCCACCAAGACCACTGCTGGCCAGGCCATTGGGGCCGGCCCCGCAGAGAGCTTTGGGCCACTACTCAAGGCTGCCAGGCTGTAGCCTGCCCGACAGCTTATACCTCTTCCCCCCTGTCTCCACAGTGTGAAACCTTTCTCTCAACAAACCTACACTGTCCAGCCTGCACTGCCTCTGCCAGGTGGGTCGGCTGCTCACATCCCAGCCCTGCAGCTCCTGCATTGAGGCCGAGGCACCCAGCAGCTGGACCCCCATAGATGCCACCTGCATGTGCTCAGACCGAACATCCCAGCTGCTGGGCCCCACCCCACTCCCTGGTCCCAGTGTGCACCGCCTTTGCCAGAGCCCCTCGGGCCTCTCCGGTCCCCTGTCTTCCTCCTCAGCTTGGGCTCAGGGCTTGCAGGGTGTGTACAGTGCAAAGGGCGGTGCCTGTGCCCTGGGGCAGCTGCTCAGCCTGGCCACCCTCATGTGCTGCATGTGGGCCCCGTACACCTTGGCTTGGGGTGGCCTTCCTGGTGACGCTGTAACTCACCTTCAACGGGAGGTCCGAGGAGAGCACAGCTTTCCAGCCCGGAGCCCCTGGGGAGCCGGGAGCCCTCCTGGGAGAAGTCCAGGCGGGTGGGGCCGCACAGGGTCCCGGCCCTCTCACAGCGCAGGGGAGGGCAGGACGACTGGCCCGTCCATGCCTCTTTCTCATGAGGGCCCCTCACCACCTCCCCATCTGTAGAGCCAGATGGGGCCCTCACCAGCCAGCTTTCCTGGCCTGGGGCACCGCCACCTGCCTGTAGGCTGGCCTGGCTTTTCCTGCTGAGAGCGCCCAGGCTCCTGACGGCTGCTCTCTCAGCCCTGCCTCCACCTCTCCTCCCTGGGACATTGCCTTTGCTCAGCCCCCAGATCTTGCCAGGGTTCCTGCAGCGGCCTCTTAACCAGCTCCAGCTCCTCCCTACACCCTGTAATTCACCCCACCGAGCTTTTCAAAGCACCATGCCCCCCATGTTGCTTCCAGGCTTAAAGTCCCGTCTTGGCTCCCCTGAACTCTGTGCTGACCTCCGCCTTCTCTCCCTGCTCCCCTGTCCACTCCTACCCCGCCCTGCCTTGGCCCTGGCTCAGGTTTTCCTCCTGCCAGTCTCTTCGCACTGCCCCGCCCGGGTTAGGCGTCCCCACCGGGCACTGGACCCTCTGTGTTGTCACTGTCTGGGTGCCTGGGCAGGGTCTGTGACTGCTTCTTGCCAGTCCGGTATCCAGCTGTGCCCGTACGTAGTGCTGGGACAAATGAATGATTCAACTGCTGCATTAAGCACGAGCCGTCACCCCTTGTGTGGCCCTAGAGCCACCTCTCGGACTGGTTCCTCTTCACCTCCAGAACTCCTGCCTCAGCACACTGCTCCCACCCTCTGTACATCCCACCGTCACCAAGGCCTGGGCTTCGCTCCCTTAGTGTCCCCCCAGTGTCCCCTCCTCTCCCCTGCACTGTGGTAGATCAGGCCTTCCTCACTGTCCCGCCTGGGAAGAGCTGCCAGGCCCAGCTGTCCGCTCTGCCTCCAGCCCTTCCTCCGCTCGGGAGCAGGGTCTTCCAGAAAGTTGAGTCTGGTCATTTTAATGCCCTGCTTAAAACACTTTCTCTTCTGAGCTCAGGCTAAAATTCCTGCTGCTCTGTACCCCTGCCCATCTCTTTAGCCTTGTTTCCTGCCAGGGGCACAAAGCCACCCTTCTCTCCAGTTCTACCAAAGACAGAGCGTCCAGACCCTGAGCTTCCTGCATTCCCTACCTTTGCCTGAGCTGGAACCCCCTTGCCTGTCTTCACTGCCTTCCCTGTACTTCCTAACTTCTTCAAGCCTCCCCTTCTGTCCCAACCACCCCCGAGGTGGGTGCTGAGCACAGGCCTTGTCTGTTTTACACTGTTAGTTACTTCCTTTATTAGCAAACCTGCATCAAGGTCCTCTTCTGGGCCAGGCACTGTCCTAGGGGTTGAGAGACCACAGTGAACTGAACAGAAAACTTCCTGTCCTCACAGGCTTGTGTTGTAGTAACTGATTTGTGTGACCATCTCCCAGACTGCACCAGCAGCTCCTCAAGGGCAGGACCCTAGCTGTGCTGTTCTGGAAGCCTCCGTCTCACAGGCATCCTGGTCCCAAGCAGCATCTGCTCTCCCTTGAGTGTAGTTCTGTGCAGCGGCCCAAGGGGCTGAGCTGCACCAGGCTGAGCCCTCCCTGCCAGGCTTTGCGCCCCTCCCCACTACCCCTGCGGGGAGGCCCAGTTTGGGGAGGCAGGAGATGCCCTCACCAGCACAGGGTCTCCCTGGTGGGCCTAGGGTCCTCACAGAGGCTGTCACGGGGGCTGCGCATGGACTGGTCCCCATGCCCTTCCCTGCTGTGTGCAGGCTTTGAGTCTTCTCCTGCGGGACCCACCCCTTCGCCCTCAGCACCCCCGGCACCCCCGTGGCAGGGCCGCAGCGTGGCCAGCTCCAAGCTCTGGATGTTGGAATTCTCTGCCTTCCTGGAGCAGCAGCAGGACCCTGACTCGGTAGGTCCTGGCCCCAGTGCCCAGCTCTCCTGCCTCCCCTGTGCTGGGAGCCTCCTTCCCCCATACCTTCTGCCTTCTCTGGCTCCCTTTTCCACCTGCATCTGCCCTTCTGTCCTGGGCCTCCACTTCTGGGGTTGACTTAGGGTCCCTCTCCCCCCCAGCCTTCCGCCCCCTCCGCCCTTGCCTCCCCTTTCCTTCCTCCCTCCACCCACCTCTTTCCCCACAGTTGATTGGCCCCTCCCCACCCCTCCCTGGCCTGGGTCCATCCGCCCAGGGGCTCTGAGGAGCAGACAGGAAGCTGTGTCTGACCCACATCCACTCTGGATGTTGGAATTCTCTGCCTTCCTGGAGCAGCAGCAGGACCCTGACTCGGTAGGTCCTGGCCCCAGTGCCCAGCTCTCCTGCCTCCCCTGTGCTGGGAGCCTCCTTCCCCCATACCTTCTGCCTTCTCTGGCTCCCTTTTCCACCTGCATCTGCCCTTCTGTCCTGGGCCTCCACTTCTGGGGTTGACTTAGGGTCCCTCTCCCCCCCAGCCTTCCGCCCCCTCCGCCCTTGCCTCCCCTTTCCTTCCTCCCTCCACCCACCTCTTTCCCCACAGTTGATTGGCCCCTCCCCACCCCTCCCTGGCCTGGGTCCATCCGCCCAGGGGCTCTGAGGAGCAGACAGGAAGCTGTGTCTGACCCACATCCTCTAGGGCACCAGCAGGGAGCAGGGCCCTGCCCCCAACCCATCCTCTTCCGTGTCCCCTGTCCTGGGGGCCAGCATCAACTGCAGAGGTCAAAGGCGCTAGCTGACCTGCTGGATGAGGCTGGACCCACAGGATGCCAGAGCCTGGGGACTTCGCAGACCTTTTCACATGGACATTTTCAAACTTGTTTTTTAGCCTAGGGTCCCATTAACAAAACTGTTCCTTAGATGCCCAGAGCATACAAGAAAAGGAGACTTTCTTGGGTTGTAGCAAGGTGTCTGTGCAGGGCACAGAAGCAGCCCAGCCCCACCTCTAAGAGTAGAGCACCATTTGAAAGCACTTACCTAGGTCAGTGGTCTTACATCACAGACACACTAATCGAGGCCCAGAGACAGAAGATGCCTTACCTGGGGATACTTAGTGAGAGGCAGGAGGAAGAGTAATACGAACAACTGCCAGGGAGCGCTGGGCATGGCACCAGATGCTTCAGTCCTGCCCACGTTGCTTTGCAGTCCATCGTTTTACTGTCTCCATTTTACCAGTGGAGAAACTGAGGCCCCCTGAGGCAAAGTGACCTGCTCCGGCCACATGGCTGGGATCTAGCTCTGACCTGTCTGCCCACGGCCTCCCACACCTCTCACACCAGCTGTCTTCTCCACAGTACAACAAGCACCTGTTTGTGCACATCGGCCAGTCCAGTCCAAGCTACAGTGACCCCTACCTCGAAGCCGTGGACATCCGCCAGATCTACGACAAATTCCCAGAGAAAAAGGGTGGACTCAAGGAGCTTTTTGAACGGGGACCTTCCAATGCCTTCTTTCTCGTGAAGTTCTGGGTAAGCCCTTTGATACACTGCCCTGTCCAGCCCCCAGTCTGCGGACGAGGAGGAGGACAGGAGGAGAGTGGCATAAGGTGCCCTTTCCGTGGGGAAAACCTGGGACCAGCATGAAGGCGAGAAGCACGCACAGAATGGTTGCCCTGGGATGGGAGGCCCGACAAGGAGTGGGGCAGCTGGGCTCGGAGAGGGCCCTTTCCTTGACAGGGGATGGTGGCCACAAAGGGGCTGCAGTGCTGGAAAAAGACCCACTGGAGATACCGAGGGAGGGGTAGGTGGAGAGCCAGCACGGACTCGTTGGATGCCAAGCCCTGAACTGGTTTCAGGGCCCGGAGCAGGGCAGCTGTTGGGCTGGACAGGGCTTGCAGAGTGGACTGGCGGGCTGGGACAGGTCACCGCAGATGCAGCACCCACACCCACCCAGCTTCCCAAACAGCTCAGCCCGCAGGCGTGGCCTCTGCTGTCCTCCCCGTCTCAGCCCTGGATGAGTGCCGCCTCCTCTGAGACCTGGAGACGAGGTGCCTGCGCTGGAAGCCTGCCTGCCAGGGGGCCCAGTACACACGGAAAGGGATGCAGGGAAGAGGGTCAGACACGGGCAAATGAAGCCAGTGACAAGGAAGTGCAAGAAATCCTGGCTTGGTGCTGAGAGGAGGTGGGAGCCTTTGGGTAGTTTCAAAGCATTGGTGCTGGGCTGGAGGCTCTGCCCATGCTCCTCTGCCAGCACCCTGTGGGCCTGGCGAGGCCCAGGACACAGCCACGCTGAAGATGGAGCCTTTCAGTACCTCTTGCCCAGAGACCCTTATATGGTCACAGACCACTTTGATCTGAAAGCTTTACTTTTCCTAGAAATAGGCATATTCACACAAAAGTTTATATAAATTCCAGGTGGCTTATAGGCCCTTGCTGGGAAGCCCATGCTGAGTTCTGGTCCCCAGTCAAGCCCACAGGCTGGCTCTCTCCAGCAAGACAGGTGCCGAGCCTGAGACTGGGACTCCTGATCTTTAAGATGCTCAAATTTGTACATTCTGTAAGACAGCTTGTCTGCAAGGAGGAGGGAAGCGTGCTCTGCACCTCCAGGGATTATTAGGCAGAGCCTGGGGGGGCCCAAGGAAGTGAGCTCCAGTGGGGAAGGTCATGGTATGAATGTCTGAGAGCAAATGATGGAACTTAAACTGGGAAGGTGAGTTAGACCCTGGAAGGAGGTCCTGATCATACTTAAGTCTGGGTTTAAATCTTTGTTGGGATAAAAAGTAGGTAACATTTTCTTTTACTTTATCTAATTTTTAAATCAGTGTGTGTTCATAGATATTAATTAATCCCAAGAGGCTTATAATAAAAAGCATCAGATTTTTGCCCCCTTCCTCCCCAGCCCCAGTCCAATCCCCAGAGGCAGTATAAATTTTTGCTGCTTATTCTGGGTTTTGTCTCCTTAGTTCAGAATCATATGCTTATATTGCCATACTTTGATGTCATGACTAAGACATTGTGTATTCCATAATAGTAGGAAGACCTGAGTCATAGCACACCACTTGCCCTCTCATCATTACAGACTTTAATAAAAGCAACATGACATTTACATTTTTTGACAATGTAAATTGACCACCAGAGAACCAAGAATTATGCTTATTATATGATGACATACTATGATTACATTTCATTTCTTGTACTTTTTTTTCCTACAAATAAATTACTTTCTCACTTGCATGTTTCTGAATAAATCTAATATTAAAAATTTACAAATTGCTCCATCATAACCACCATATAAAATTGAAAAAAAAAAAAGGTTTTCCTCAGCTCCTCAAACCTATAAGTTGATTTATCAGTTCCCCCTTTCTCCTAATGATCTTCTGCTCATTCTGAATGAGTTGTTCTCCAGACGTGCTCTGCTATTGTCATCCAGGAGCCTGCTTTTACTGCTCTCCTATGTATTGAATCTACAGTTTCCTAGAGCTCATGGTTCTCTCTGTTTTGGTGACCTCCCCTCTCCCCTTCTCATTTGGCTGGAACACATTCTCTAGTACCTTCCTAAGAAGAGATGCATGGTAGATAAATGTTCCAAGTCTTCGCCTGTTTGAATGTCATTTTTTTGTACTTGATGGATAGTTGGACTGGTATAGAATCTAGATCATAAATGTTTTACCCTAGACATGATTTTTAAGAATCATTTTTTAATGCAGTGCTTCACTGCCTTCTGACATAAGCAGTCTGATAGCATTCTGATTCTCTATCCTTGGTTATATAACTTGTTATGATTTTTTTTGTGTCTGAAAGTTTTGAATTTCCTTTCCCTCCCTGAAGTTCTTATATTTCACTTTGGTGAGCTTCGAATATGTGTGTTCTGCTTTCTCTGAGCCAGGAACTTGGTAGGCACTTTTAATCATGTCTCTTAATTTGGGGAAATTTACTCATCTTCTTTCCTTCTGTTTCCTCTGTGCTTTTCCAGGAACCCCTATTAGTCTGATGTTGGATCTCCTGGATTTATCCTCTATGGTTTTTACCATTTCTTTTTTTTCCAACTAATTTTCTTGGAGATTTCCTTAACTTTATCTTCTAATTCTTCTGTGTTAGTCAAGAGTACATCTGAGTGTACATTACATAAAAACTACAGTAACCATAGGATACATAAATGTTTTTTTTTCCTTCAAGTAAAGTATGTCTGGAGGTAAGACTCTCCAGGGCTGGTCCAGTAGCTCCTTGAAGTCACCAGAGACCTTTTTTTCCTTCTCTGTTGGTCATCCTTAGCGCATGGCTTTTGTCCTCAAGGTCGTGGCCTCTGGGGTTCTAGCCATCATACATTCCAGCCATCAGAAAGGGGGAGGCCAACTTAGCTCCCTTTGTGTAGCCTTCCTGCGAGTCCCACACAACACTTAATTAGTCGTATGATTGCACCTGGCTGCAAAGGATCCAGGAAAATGTACTCTGTTGGTTGAATAAATTGCCGTTCTGAATAAATCAAGCTTCTGTGACGAGAGGCGATGGATGGGTCTTTTAGCTGCTGGTGTGCCATAGTTCAATTGATGGCATTTTTCTTTCTTAGTGGCTCAGAAAATCATGGTGCATCACATAGTTAATGGTGAATTATATTAATGGAATATGGTGGCATTTTCTGCCCCTTCTATCAAATATTTAATTTTGACCTGACACTGTTTAGTCCTCTGTCTTGTCCTTTGACTGCATCCTGATCTTGTTTCATGGCTATGGTTTTTCTGTTACCATTCTGAGGAGAGGAAGTAAGAATCATCTTTTAGGTTTTCTTCTGCTCCCTTCCTTGTCTTTGTTTCCTTTTAGTCCTTTTTTCTGTCTGTTTTGGTCTCTGTCTTTCAAGTTGGAGGGTTTTCTCAAATGTCTATAATCCTTGGCTATGTTTTTGGTCCACATTTTTTTTTAAGGACCATATAATTCACTTACCATATAATTTACCTACTTAAAGTGTACATTTCAATATGTTTTAGTGTATTCAGAATTGTGCAACCAATTTTAGAGTGTTTTCATCGTCCCCTAAATAAACCCAACCACCGCCCTTCTCAGCCCCTACCACATACCCCCAGCCTTAGGCAACCATTAATCTCTTCCTATTGCTATAGCTTTGCCTGTTCTGGACATTTCATATCCATAGAATCACATAGTATGTGTGGTCTTTTGTGACCGACTTCTTTCACTTAGCGTGGTGTTTTGAAGGCTCAGCTTTAGGGTGGTGGGCGTCAGTACCTCACCACTTCACAGGCGGTGGTCATTATGGTTTTGATTTGCACTTGCCTGTTCCTGCTGGGCATTCATATGTCTTCCTTGGAGAAATGTCTGTTCAGGGCCTTGGCCCACACAAATCAGGTTATCTGTCTTATTATTCAGTTCTGGGTTCTTCATACATTATATATAGATGTCCCCTATCACGTATGTGATTTGTAGACACTATCCCATTCTGTTGTCTGTCTTTTCACATTCTTGAGAGTGTCCTGTGAGGCACAAACGTTTTTCATTTTGATGAAGTCCAGTTCATCCTTTCTCTTGTTTGCACCATTTGTCCATACTTAACAGTGACCGGAAGCTCTGTGTCCAAGGTAGGACTTGTCACCTCATCGGCATCCCTTTAAGGTGATTGTTTTATTGAGGAAACTAATAAATGTCACTGTGTTTACTAGACTTGTGTTTTTTTTTTTTCTTCTGAGATGGCTCAGTTTTTTCAGAGCAGGCTCCTTAAACTTGCCCCTGGCAGGGTCACTGGCAGCCTAGCGAAGGGGCAGGGGAGAGGCGAGGGACCCAGCCGTCCCTTAGGAGGCTTCCCTTAGTTCTCCTGTCTTGTCACCCTCCCCTGACATGCCCAGTGTCCCTGAAACCCGAGCCTTCCTGTTTAATCTTTGGAGATGGTCACCACTTTCTGAAGACGGTCCTCTCCTGATGGGCTGGAGAGGTGGGCTGGAGGTCTGGCCCGGCCATGCACAGCCTCCTGGTCAGCCCCGTGTCATGTCCTGCGCCTTCCCCTCTCGTCCCGAGCAGCTCGGCCTCTTCTTGGGAACATCAGCTCACTTTTTGTCACCCCGTGGAGGGCACTCTTGGGCTGTAATTTCTTTTCTTGCCTCCTTGGGCTCCACGGAATGCCTCCCGGCTCTGAGCAGCCCCCAGTCTCCTTGAATTCGGCGCCCTCTTGTCAGTCTGGTCTCCTCTGTTTTTTTCCGCCTCTGTGGTGCAGTTCTACTCGGCTCTCCGGAAGGGGAATCGTGAAATTGCTTGGATGATCAGTCTCCCCTTTTAACCAGGTGTCCGGGAAAATGAACTCTGACCTGAGTTCACCTCTAATGGAAAGGGAATCATTGTTAGGAAGGCTGGAGGATCTAGAGGAAGAAAGTTCTGGATTGACTACTAATGTCTGCCATGGATGTAGCTGGGGAAGATAGTGGCATATTTCTTACATATTGGCCATTCCCTCTCCTTAGGTAATGAGACATCATTGAAGGTTTTTGAGCAAAGCATGACATGTACTTCGTGGATAAATGAGCCATCCA